AAGACTCCTGTAACTTTAAAAATATACCAAATCATCATATAGGAGCTCGTATAGAAATGCTCTTATATAAAGTATATGATCAAGTATTCTCCTGGTTTTTGCTCCCCTGTGCAATTGCTACATGACCAGCCTTTCCTCTTCAGAAGATACTGATTTGACCTACTGTTTGCTTTATGCTGATGATTTTTTTTTTCCTTCTGTTCTGCAGTTTTTGAAGAGCCTGAAGACCCAAGTAACAGGTCATTTTTTTCTGAAATCATCTCTTCAATTTCTGATGTTAAATTCAGTCACAGCGGGAGGTATATCATGACCCGGGATTATCTCACGGTCAAAGTATGGGACCTGAACATGGAGAACAGACCCATCGAGACGTACCAGGTACTACTTTCTCAGAGGTGATTGTATACCAGACCAGGGATGCTCAACCTCTGGCCTGCGGAGCCTTGGAATATGGGTCATGGGACTCCCCATAAGTCAGGAAATTTGGTGGCAGGTGAGCAGTGGCAGTTAATACCACCCCTCCCTGCTGCCAAAATCCCAAACTCAGCATGACAAGTCAGCCAGGCCACAACTGTCCCCCCATATGGCCAGATCAGGGCAGAGCTAAGTCCTCTTTCCCCACATGGCTGGATTAGAACCAGGCTGCCCCCCTGCCTGTCCTCCTTGCCACAGGGCCAAGCCATGCCTGCTCCCCCTACATGGCTGTTTTGGGGCTGGGCCATGCCTCCTTCCTCCCACAAGTCAGACCGTGACCCCCCCACCATGCAAGTCTGGATCAGAGCTGGGCCATGCCCCCTCTTCCCCGCTGAGCCAAGCCAAGTCCCTTTTCCTCACATGGCTGGATAGGGGCTGGGCTGCCCCACACAGCCCTCGTCTGTGCAGCCAAATTAGGCCCCACCGCACGCACCCCTGGTACTGGATTAGGTCCACTAGCAGGATCCAGCCTGCAGAGCAACCAGGCATTACCCATCTGGCTCCACACACAAAAAGGTTGAGCACTGTACTAGACATATGTGGGAACAAAGGGGGAAACACTCAGACTGCCCCTTTTGATGGGATGTGCTTGAGTTATCACAAGGAAGAAGTTAGGGTTAAAGAGCATAAAACTTAGGAGTACAAAATAAAAACAGTGTCTAAGAATTTGCACCTACTCTCTCTAAAGTTTTGCCTACAATTTTAAATTGGAGTACAATTCCTACATAAGCTTTATAATGACATAAAACATTGCTTTTATCCCAGTTGTAATTTTGGATGAATTGGTGAATGTGCAGGTTTACATTTGGGGTGTGTTTTGCATAAGGGCAGTGCAGGTTTTGTTAGCAGAGTTCTGATAACTGCCCTTAACCCAGACCTACTCTACCCTGTGCCAGTCTAGTGCCAAGCTCTTTGAGACAAATCCATCTTTATATACTATTTGGGGCCCTGCACTGCCAAATCATCAGTATATGGTGCTCAAGCTATATTTGAAATGGCACTCATTTTTTATTCACTGGAACTGGAAAATGATTGAAAATGTGTGAATGAATGCATTTAAAAGTTCTGTCCAACTCCATTTCAGAGAACACAGCAAGTCAGTCACTATATGCATCAGTGCCTTTGGTTGTGGATGGATTAATAAGTTACACATCAGGAACTCTAGTCACATTTTTAACTCACTGGACCATGTAGCTGAAATGCAAAACTATTAAGCAGAGATCCTGGTTTTCTCTGTTTAAAAATAGCAAATTTTCAAATTAAATTCTCCCCACCCACAGCCCAGCACCCCCCCAGCCCTGCTGGTGCCCCTCACTCACAACCCACAGTCTCCTGCCCCCTCTGCCCTGCTGGAGAGGGCCCCCAGCTGCCAGGGCTGTAGGGCCAGGGCCAGGACCCACAGCTCACAAAACTGCATGACGCCCCCTGCCTCCTTCCGTTCCCCACAGCACCAAGCAGCCCCTTGAAGGCTGGATCTCTGCCAGCTTGCAAGAGGAAACCTGCCATTTCTCACATTTTTCTCTTTTAAACGCATATTTTTGCATTTTTTTCCATGGCGAATGGAAAACCCAGATCCCTGCTAATAAGTAGCAATTTGGTATTAAAGGCACTGTACTAGGAAACAGGCACCTCTTTTTGTTCCATTTTAGACTTAAGGCATTCACTAAACCTCCAGAAAGCATGGTATTGTTTCTCATCCTGTCCTTTTTTTGCTGTCAGGTTCACGATTACCTCCGAAGCAAGCTGTGCTCTCTCTATGAGAATGACTGCATCTTTGATAAATTTGAATGTGTCTGGAATGGGTCTGACAGGTAAGAAACATCATTCTAGATTATAAGGGGGACTTTGCTCATGGATTCCCAAACTACAGATTGTGCTGTTCATTCTGCACTTAAGAAGTGCTGTAAGTTTAGAGATGACATTCTGTATTCTTTACAAAACAGAGCATTTGAATTCCTTCTTTATGTGCAAAACGGATCTCATCCTTAACCCTGGACCCTTGGTCATAATACTATTGGCTCTTCCCTTTCTTCTGCTGTGTAGTCCTTTCTCTGACATCTTGCTTGTTGGCATAGTGGTTTGGTGTAGAGCTTTAGAGGGTTTCCTTCATTTTTTTATTTTTATATATATATATATATATATATATATAGTGTAAAACAGAGACTGGCCAAAACCAGAACCTCATATCCAACCGTACCCAAATTTTAGGTGTTCAGGTTGGGTAATCTTGGATTAAAATCCTTGCATTTAAATACGCCAGTAAGCTTTTGGTTCTGCATCAAATCCACACATAGAAAAGAACTATTTTTTCTGGTTCTGGTTTGGATATGCCAATATGTCAGGAGACCTAAGGACAGAAGTTAAAAACTGGTATAAGTAATCAGAAACCAGTTCAAATCTGTAACACAAGAGAAGTTCAGTGCATATAAAACACTTTCAAAATGGATTAAGCCAGTTTAAGATAAATTAAGATCAATATAGTATCAGACTTAACTTATTTAAGTTAAATCAGTTAATTGAACTTCTGTCCCAGATCCCCTCCAGGTTCAAGTTACCTCACAGTCCCCCAGCATCCCAGGATGCTTTGCACCTCCCCTGCAATGCCCCCCCACCTTGCCTTCACAGGCTGGGAGGGCTAGCTTTGGTCCAAGCTGTCTGCTCTACCTAAACAGGGAGGCATGCTCTAGCAGTCTCCAACTTTGGGTCTGAGCCACTGCAGCCATGTGGCTGCATTTCCAGAATCAAAAGTTAATGTCTGTTCACTTGTTTATTGGTTCAATCTACGCAGCTTAGACTGACCTGTGAAGATTGAATTGATTCAGCCTTGGGCCTTTTCTGTACTTAGCCCAGGTGTTCTGTGAAATTTGGGCTCAACGTGATAACTTATTTTGGTCCAAAACTGCAAAAAGTAATATTACGCTAGGCAGAAGAAATCATTCAAGATGAGTTGATCTCAGAGGATTTACACAATTGTGTATCTAAATCTTGTAAGAATTCAACATCATCAAAATATTAAGACTCAATAGGGGCTAGGTTTAAATCCAAATCCCTTATCTAATCTAGATCAAGGAAGTTTCTCTGTAACTCATCAGTAGTTGGAAACAAAAGAGGCCAGTATTCAGGTTAGTCGAAACACTTGTCCCATATTATATAGTCCATATTTCGCTCATTGTTACGGGGAGGAGGAAATTTCATGGAAATTTCCCTAAGAAAGAAGTAAGGAAATAAACTTGAGGAGATGCATCCCAGCCTTACCAACAAATTCAAATATTTTTTATTCGATATGGTAGAAAAGGAATGGAGTTCTCCAGAACTTCCTGATCCTGAAATTATGTGAGGTTTGAAAAGAGTAGCATTTATCAGTCTAGTTCTCACCTCATTTGAACTCGGCAAATAGCAACATGGAAAAACAAACACATTAAGCCAGATCATCCCAGGAGAGGCCTGCAACCTGAGAGCAAATCTCTAGCAAACCACTATAGCAATCTCTAGCGAACAATTCAATGATGTTGACTCCCCCTTGGTTCTTCCTTCTGTGGAAGGATCATGAATCTGATCTGTTGTTTCAAGGGTCCAGAAGGGAGAGCTTAAAAGGACACTCCTGCTGCTGTGTCCTGTATGTTCAGTTCATCCCTTCTTTCTGCTTACTTTGCAGCGTCATAATGACTGGCTCCTACAACAATTTCTTCAGAATGTTTGATCGCAACACGAAGCGTGATGTCACCCTAGAGGCTTCGAGGGAAAACAGCAAGCCTCGGGCCATCCTCAAGCCCCGCAAAGTGTGTGTAGGGGGCAAACGAAGGAAAGATGAAATTAGTGTGGACAGTCTGGACTTTAGTAAAAAGATCTTGCATACAGCTTGGCACCCTTCAGAAAATATCATAGCAGTGGCAGCAACAAATAACCTGTATATATTTCAGGACAAGGTTAACTAGGAGGAAAAGTTATTCTTTAGGAATCTCATGTACTGAATACTAGTAAACACAAGATTTCAAATCTTTCTTTTTCTTTTTTTTTCCCCCTGTCCTTCCTGTTCATTTGTTTAATTATTCCTCTGCATATAACAACTGTGTAGAGGTGAACAAACAGATTCCAATGTCCCCAGCCTCCTCAAAACTTAAGAGTAACAGGTTGGCAAATCCAGTAGATATCACATTTTCGTTTTACTTTTTGGAGAACTGAACTCGACCAAATGACATGGTCCTTTTGATAGCAGGCTTGGATTTCTGATGCTTTTATTATACTGAGTAATCTTTGGTGGTTCCTAGTATTGTTTTGGTTGTAGGCGTCTGCTGATTTAAAATGAAGATAAACACTATATTATGTGATTTTTAAAAAGTCAGCTAAGGTCAGAAAAAAGGGTATGACCGTGTGTGCGTTTGTGTGTGTGTGTGTGTGTGTGCGTGCAGGTGCATGTGTACACATGCACATTGTTTAAGTAATCCCATTTTTTTAATATCATTTTGGAGATAATTCACTTGTTTTGTGCAAAATTAGAATGTTGTTCCCCTGCCAATGGCTTTTTAAATTCATATAGTTTTTGAACTGACAGCAAAACCAAACAAAAGTAGAAAAGATCAGATTTGCAGTGAATGAGTTTATAGGAGGGGGGGAATCAACTGTACACTAAGAACTGTATATTCTAATCAAGGCTGCTACCTTCCTTCTTCACAACCCACAGAAAGTCTTAAGGATTTGGCTCTGTAGATACTGTGGTGCCTTTTTTGGTATATGAAATACCTTTATAAATAATGCTTCCAAAATGCATTTATTGCAAACCAAAATGAATCTGGGCTTTTCTTCTACATAACTTATATTTTACTTTAGTCATTTTGAATTGTTCTGTTTTCATGTCTTGCATGTCATAACTGTTTCTGTTCCTTTTTTTAAATTAATTTATTTATTTATTCATTCAATTTATTTTTTTTAAAGATAAAATATAAGTTGCTAATTTATGACATTCTAAGGAAAACCACCATATATAGCTGCTAGCACCTGACTGCTTCACATAGAGGTTGTCCATGGTTCTACAGTATAATAATAATAATAAAAATAATAACTCTTCCTCTTTGCATGCAAGGCTGCCCCTTTCTATTGCAAGGATTATTCAGGTCCCTTCTTTATTTGAGGAATGATCCAATTAAAACAGAAGTTTTTATTCAGTCTGTGAACTGCTGCTGCAACAGAAGTAAAAACCAAACCACTATCGTGTTAAAAATGGATACCTAATGTGCTGTGCATTCTTTCTGCTTGTGAACAGTCAGCAATACAGCCAGCAGCTTTCATTGTTGCAGGAAAAGTTATACAAATTTTTAAAGGCAAAATGCACTCTTTCAAGCCTCTTATGTAAGGTGTGATTTGGATTTCCAGCATTTTCTGTTATGTCTTACCAAGTTAGATACCTTACAAGTGAGACTAACTGCCACTTTCTCAAGGGGCACTAAATCCCACAAGGAAATTACACAAAATGCATAGCTAACTGGGGACCTTCAGTAAATTTCTCTGGGGCAAGAGGAAGCCACAGTTCAAGTACTTGGAACCAAGCTTCTAATTGTTATTTAACTATTTAATACCCTGTCCACTCTTCATGAGACTGCTCAGGGCAGGACCGGATAAGAGTTTGCCTTGTTCAAAGGAATGATTACGAGAAAAAAAGAAAAAAAAAGTATGCTGGCTTATACATTTATTACAAGTAATGGCTTTCAGGAGTAACTTTTTTTTTTTAAATGAAATGGTTTAAAAAAATTAGCAAGAGTAAATGAGTCATTTTTTAAAAAAATGTTTCTTTTTTGTTCCTGTAAAGAAAGCCTGCACTCTGGCATCAGAAGTAAAAGTTGTCCCAAATGTGTTTTATGTGTGGATTCACTGATTGTTCTGCTTTCTAAATGGTATGCAATATATTAAGCCTTTGGCACCAGAATTATAGAAAGGAAAGTCAACTGTCTGCCAGGCTGCTCATGCTGTTGAAAGCCCTGCCATACCTAGCAACAAAACCAAATATATCCTGACATCTTGATGAACCTTTGGGCAACAGAGTGCATCTGACCCTGGAATTGGAAATCGTTTCCACCTTCAGCTTACTGGTTGGAATCTGCCCATCAGTAGGAACCTGATGCAGGCAGTTGCATAAGGGTGGGATCTACTGCCTGGTGGGAATCTGCAACAGCTTTGAGCATGGTATGATGATCCCGCTGGTGCAGATCTCTGGTTGTATCCACTGCTGAGATCGGCACCCATGCTGGGGGGTAGTATGAACTGCTTATGCTACATGAAATGTGTGATTCCACGAGCGCAGACAGTTCACAGCAGAAAGGCAGGGGAAAAGAAGGACAGGGAGGTAAAGTGATTTGGAAGTTTGTCTAGTCCCTAGAATGAATAAGAGCCAGCACCACCCACGCACTGTGGTTAGCAGTGTCAGAGGCACCACAGACCAAATGAAGGGACCAAGAGGAATCCTGCAAGTCAAAAACGATGCTTGTCAGCTGTGTAGAAAAATTCACTCGATTAATGCCTGTACCACAGCCGTTCCAAAAACCAAGACGGAGGGCAATCTTGGTGGTCAGTCAGGTTCCTTTCCAGAGCTTTAAAACTTGTGAGCATCTTTTTATTAAGAATGTGTTGGTAATTTGAGCAACGTACTGAGAAGTCTATGGCCTCATGCTAGTTCTCTGCAGAGCAAAGTCCCTGTAACAGCTGGTCCACAAGGGTGCAGGGCTGGTGCTCAACAATTCAAATTTCTCGTCAAAGAAGTAGATATTCAGGAGAATTTTGGTAAAAAATAATAATAATATCCTTTCCTATTTAGTTTTTCCTTGCCTCCATTCCCCAGCCTCATCAGGGATCCGGGTTTTCCATTTGCCGTGGAAAAATGCAGATTTTCTCCTTTACAGGAGAAAAACATGGGAAATCACAGGTTTCCTCTTGCAGGCTGGCTCAGTTCCAGCCTGCAAGGGGCAGGGGGCAGCAGGATGCAGGGGACACCACGGGCATGTCTGCATGCCCGCACATGGCTGGGAATAACAGCCCCAGGCAGCGGTGAAGCGCAGCTCCTGAAGGTAAGTCTAGAGGGGGGAGGATAGGGGCACAGGCAGTGTTAGAGAGGGGGGGCAGGTTGAGGCGGCGGCCATGGTGAGGAAGGGAGAGTGGGGCAGAGTTGGCAGCTGGGGTTGGTGGGGAGCTGCCCAGCCAGGGCACTGCCCAGAGCCAGATTGGGGATACGCTGCCACAAGGCCTGCAGCTGATGCCATGGAGCAGGGAGCAGGCAGGCTGGTCCTGTAGCCCTGGCAGCTGGGGGTCTGCTCTGGCAGGGCTAGGGACATAGGCAACTGGTAGGCGGTGCACATGCCCCCCTGATGGGGCCAGTGTCCCCTCTGACAGCTGACACTGATGCTGTTGGTAGGGCTGGTGCCCCCCCTTGACAGGGTCAGTGCCTTCTGCAGGTGCCCCTCCAGATTCAGGAGGTACCACTCAGTCATGGCTGGGGGAGGGGACAGAGGGCTGTGAGTCAGGAGTGAGGGATACCAGTAGGGCTGAAAGCGTGGGGGGCTGCATATTGGCTGTGAGGGGCATTGGAAGGGGTGGGGGGTTGTGGGCTAGGAGTGAAGGGCACTGGCCAGGCCAGGGAGCTGTGGCTTGGGAGTGAGGGGCAATGGCACAGGGAGAGGCAGCACACTGGCATATCAGGGTTGCTCAGCACCACAAAGCAGCTGGAGGGACAACTGCAGTTGGACCTACACCCTGGTGAGTGAAGGGGCAGGGTGAGCTCTGATTTTCTATGACGAAAAACCCAAAATCAAATGCCAAAATTTATAGGTATTTAGAAATTATTTTATTATAGTAATTGAGGCACTTGTAGGCTTCCAATTTTTTTTTTAATTGTAAATATATAAATAAAACATTGTGTTCAACTGGTCCCTATGTATATATATAGATATAGATATATCTATATCTATATCTAGATTAGATATATCTATATAGAGAGAGAGAGAGGTGGTTTCATTTTAATTGCGGTAAAAACACAGATTTTGGGTTTTTTTAATCAGATCATTTGGGATTCTTTTTAAATCAGAGAATTTGGGATTTTTAAACTAGGATCCCTGCATTATTCTTCCTCCCCAGTTGCATCAGATGGGGGGCAGTGGGGTGAGGAACAAAGGAAGAAAGTTCCCCACACCAGCCAAGAACCCAGCAGGAGCTGCTTTAGATCCTCTCTCGGGGAGCCTACCTACATGGACAGATTCAGGTGATCTGTGGGCTGTGCTCTTCCTAGTTTGAGGAGTGCTGACTATGGAGGGCAGCTATTCCATGGGCTTAGCCTTGCCCTCTGTTAAAAAAAAAAAGAAACCTCAGTCCTAAACCAAGGTGGCACCTTAGAGGAGAGCCACCACTGACAGCTAGATTTGGTCTTTGGATCTGAAGGCCAGGATAACAGCCACAATGGTATGAACACTAAAAAGCCAGCCATCCTCAAGAGGATGTGGCAGAATACCTTGCTTTCCAGGACTCTCTGCTTGGGTCCTGCCATAGGCCCAGGGTTTTTACTGATTGGCAGTATTCCATTCCTGCATCTGTTAAAACTTCTAGAAAGATCTGCATCCACACTTCCATGAGTCCATGAATCCCACATGCCCAATTTTCAGAGGTGCAGAGCATCTTCAGCACCCAGGGACTTCCACTGTAGTTGTTCATAGGAAATTATTTAAGAACTGGCTGCACTTTACTCTCTCTGTCTCATACACAGACTTTGTAATGAACTTCTCAGAGTCATAACTATTGCTCTGTTGGGCTTATCAGAACAGCTGCAGTCATGGCTCTCGGTTCAACCCCACGCTGAGAGCTGAATGGCTTTTCCAAGCAGGCTCTATGAAGAGCAAGGATCTTGGGATACACGTAGGTGAAAGCAAGGAGTAAATACAGGTTCTAAGGCAGTACCACCAGGCTCCAAGCAGGATAGGCAGTGTCTGTGATGCATAGCCTAGAAGCCCTTTCTGCAGATGGCACATCTGTATACACTCTACAATGCTAGGAGCAGACTAATTCATTTCTGCTGTGCCTTTTTTTATTATTGCAGCAAATATGTCTCTGGGCACTGTTTCCTAGTCATTTATACAACCCAGCATCTAGGCAACAACTACTTTCCTGATCCTTACAGCTGCAAAGTGCCAGCGACTCTGATATTATAACTGCAATGAGGGTTGCTAGTCCTCAGTGGCTTCCACAATAAGCCCTGCATTGTCAAGTGAAGGATTTGCATGGTGTATTATCTTATTTATCCTTTTATTGCTCATGTGTGAAAAACCATCCAGCTTCAGTTTTGAATGTTTTCCATCAGCAGAAAAGAGCTAGAGAGCTGTTGAAGAGATGTATTAAGGGATGGCAACCAAGCTGTTATAGCAGTGTTAGTTAATGCAGTGTGCAAGACACTTGCCTGATGCACTGTGGTCTGACTCTGGGAATACCACACAGCATGCACACAGGCCGACAGTTTACAGTCAATATTGTGCTCACTGATGCAAGAAGCAACATCATCACATCCTAGACATTACCCCTACAGCCCATCTTTGGCACTAAATATTTCCAATAACAAGGCTACGTGAAGTGACAAGGGCTATTATTCTTAACCTGCAGTCTACCGTCTCTGAAAAACAGCTGCCAAAAACATCCACTGGATTTTACCGGGGGAGGGAGTTGGGGAGACTATTCAGATGGTCATAATCCCACTTCATAAGTCAAGCACTTGGCTAATATAGCAAGATAGGAAGAGAAGAGATTGGCATTTCCATTTGCTCTGATTTCTGTGTATCATGAGCCAAAGCACACTGGTTGACACTTGGTGAAAAGGGTTTGTAAATCTTAAGGGATGAACTTGGATTCAATTATATCAGGGACACTCATTCTAATAAATAAGTCCAGTTCTCCCAGTTTGAGCCTCATCTTCAGCCGAGTGATTAAATATCATATTTCACGAAGGCTGTATCTACTATTAGAAGCTCAGCACAGACTACATATATATTGTGAGTGTATAGACTTGTTGTTTCTACAATACTCGTTGTTTGCTATGGGTTGTGATCACAGACACTTTTGAAGTATAAAGCGACTCTACAGTCATAGTTTAAAGTTATATGCATGGCTTTACCAGGGATAAAGGCACAATAACACTGAGATACCTGGGTGCTTGGGCCCTGTCAGGAGCCACAAATAAGGCAATTCTTTCCCCACTATCTCCCATTCCAACACTGGGTCCTACAGATGTGGTACACAAAGAAACACCCGATTTGTGGATTCCGATACGGCTTAAGTATATGTTAGTTTGGTACTGTTGGGACTCAGGCAATTCTTGGTATGCCAAAGAGACCTTACCAGCCAAAAGAGAAATCTTTTGTCAGGAGCGAATGTGCTGACACTGTAGGCATTTTTAGGACTAGGTGGTAGCTTACTGGGGTTCCTGCGAATATAAATTTTGTCACTGGGTGACTACAGGGGCAGGATGTAAGAACTTAAGTCCTTTTGTGGATCTGGCCTTTCATCTATTTGTAAAGCAGGGATCTTAATAGTTGCCTACTTCTGTAAATGATTGCAGGAGTTGCTGATATTTCAGTGCCTGGAGCTAGATACCTAACAAGCTTTACAGATCTGGCCTTTAAATCCTCAGAGGAAAAACAGTGAGTATTACTACTTTAATGAAGGGGGGGGTTAATCATTTGAGTGGTTTCTTATGCAATAAAACACAAAAGACAGCCTTATGCATGTAGCCCTGATAAATACACAGATTAATAAGTGCAAACCAGGTAAGTTTAAGTGAAATTAGATGATTTAGTGATGAAATAGGAATCTAATTGTTTTGATGTCATAACTTAGGATACAGTATGGATGTTGCCATGCCAATAAAACCTACTGAAATTAGCATTGCTCAATTGAGAATACTAAGAAATGGACAAGTTACAGATTTCCTTCTCTCTTGCTAATACACACCTTGATTGACTCTGCTTGGTTAATACAATAAACCAGTGCCCAGATAGACAATGCCTGGTCTATCCACAGACCGGATCCAGCGGTGGTCCTGAGCTGGTGCCCAGGGTCAACATGGCAGACCCCCAACCTGGCCCTGTGGAAGGGACGGGTGGAAGGAGGCTTGACACAGCCCCAGTCTAGCCCCATGGAGGGGGTGGGAGAAGGAGGAGGCATGCCCAGGCTCCTGTCTGCCACAAGGCTTGAGGTTTGGGATTCTGGCAGAGGGGGAAGGTGGCTGTAGTAATTACCATTGCTCCCCTGCCACCATATTTCCCCACCCATGGGGAGCCCCATGGGCCAGATGCCTTGAATCTGTGGGCTGCATCTGGCCCACAGGCCAAAGACTGAATACCCCTGTGATAAACCAAACCCAATGCCTGGACACTTCATAAATGGAGCCAGATACTGTGAAAGAACTGCAGAACTCATGATCCTTCTAAGCAATGAAAGGATCCTATTTACCCCAGCTTTTAAAAATCCTATTGTTTTGAAAATACAAACAGGTCATGGCTTAAACAATATCCAATTCATATATTGAAAAGTTGGATGGTTATTGGTATTTACAGGAAGATCCAGACCCCACTGTTTATGGCGTTTCTTTCAAAAAAGCGAATGGAAACGTCACCCAACGCTCAACGTGCAGCTAATTCACTATCACAACTGTAAAAGCCTGCAGGACATCTAGAAACAGAAATAATCATCTCCATTTTTTTACTACATGGAGGCAGTCAGATACTGCAGTGATGGGAGTGATTAGAATATGCATGCCTAGGAAACTGTACAGGTATGAATGAAGAAATGAGTGTGCACAATTGCATGCCCAAAAGTGCATCTGAAATTATGGGCATCATTATAGCAGCTATGCATGTTTAATCCTGAAAAAAAAATCTGATCCTAACCATATACACAAAATACACTTACTCCTAGTTGTTAAGTGCAGACTAAACTAACATTTGTCTGGGATGGTTTAGACAGAGATAATCCTCCCTAGAGCAAAAACAGGGGATTGAATTAAATGATTTCTTGAGGTCCCACCCAGCCCTAGTTTCTGCAATTTTTTCTTATCCTGAAGACAAAAAAAAAAATCACCAGTT